AAAAAAAAAAAAAAAAAAAAAAAAAAAAAAAAAAACTATAGTGCAATTAATAATATGATTTTTTGTATTTAAGAATGGTTTAAGGCCCACGAAATAAAATAATACAACAATTAAATATGTGTCTTAGTGTTAACAAAGATAGGAGTAGGTACATCAATAATGTTAGAAAAAATTTCATCTCATCGTTATATCACGTCATATTTAAAAATTAATATAATGTCAATAACTTCTTAAAATTGTATTCAAAGTTCATTAATTTGATGCTCGAGTAAATAAGAGGTAAATAAATAAATGAATTGAGGCCACGTCTCAAAACAATTTTGACAATATAAAATTATCATTAAAAAAATTTTAAACTTCCTGTGAACTTTTCTAAAAAACATGTCAGCAAAGGCAAAACATACTATAAAAACTCAGGTTGGTTAGTAGATAGAGTCTTTATTGTTATAAGTAGTTAAGTCAAGTAGATAATATAATCATGATGTATAAAGATGTCACTATCAAATACTAAATCGAATCCATATTTCAAATCCTAGCATTGGGACATGGACGGAATGTATCCACATTTTTCATCAATAACTCTCTACTTAGTTTTAAAAAGTTAATACCCTTGTACGAAATTATTAGTTCCTCGAATTAAAAAAGAAACTGAAATAATATTCTTAAACTTTAGAAAAAAAAATGCTCTTACGGTATAATAGACGTATTTTTAAAAAAAAATCGTAAAACGACAGCAATACATAACAAGCTACTAAAACGGACAATATTTGCTAGCAATAAGTTTAAGTAGTTACAAATGGTAGTAGAGTCAAACATCAAACAGTGTACCAGCGAGGACGTTAGACCCTCAAGAGGAGTAGATTGTGAGATCCCACATCAACGGTAGAGGAAACTAAAGCGTTTCTTTACAAGGGTGTAGAAACAAAATAATAGCGATACGTAAAACGCTAGAGCGAACACTATTTACTTTTATAATAATAAATAAATAAATAAACAAGGAGGTCAAACTAAAAAAAATAGTGTGGTATTGGTCAAAATAGTTGGATAATTACACAACTATCAATACCATATGCCACTCTGTTTGATCCCTCTTTTTAACAAATAAAAGTGGGGTGAAGCAAAGAAGGGTCTCATACATACATACATACATACATACATACATACATACATATATATATATATATATATATATATGTATGTATATATATAGATAAAGATTCTAAAGTTCTTTATCCAATTTAGTGAGAACTTTTCTGATTGCTTCACCTTCAAACGTAATAGAATTGAACATAAAACTGAAACCTAAATATCTATTCTCCTAACCATAAAAAGAACAGCTATAAGAACTACACAGACAGTGTCAGCATGAAAAGGAAGTCTTTCAAACTTCACCTATATGATGTAGAGAAGGTCATGACTTGATGGTAAGCTCTGCTCTGAGGTGAAGGACGCCATTTATGAAGTAAATGCTATCTTCAGCCGTGAAGGAAGTCCATGGTATACCAAACAAGTTCCGGTACCCGACAGCTTTTCCGCCTGTGAACGTGTAGTTACCCTTATATTTACTGAGGAACTCTTCGCTCGGCTTTGATCTTGCTGAAAACTCGTAATCCACCGCAAAAGTCACAGACCCTTTCTCCTGCATCCCCAAGAACAATCCAAAACAATGGAAGGAGCTCTGTTGGTCCATGTTGCAATGAGCAGACAAGAAGAATCCTTGCCCTCCCAAATGAAATGCTTGTGAATAAATTCGTCCAGATGGGAACAAGCTTATACATTCTTCTCTTTTCAAGTCCAGAAATATTACACACTGCTGTCGAGGAAGTTCTAATTCGATGATCTTAACTGGCCGATACTTGTAGGTCCTCTCGATGAAGGGATGGCTCGGGGAAGTAGAGTCGTCGGTAATCAAGGCTCGTTGTCTGTGGGGGAAGTCAGCTTTGAAAAAGAGTGCTTCAAGCACGAGTTTGGAAGCAGCCTCGTGATCAAAGTCGATACATGTCAATACCTTCTTAAGCTTCCGGCAGGACATGTAAGGAAAGCGAATGAATCGAGCAAGACGAACACCGAGGACTTCTTGCCGCTCCTCTAACGAAGGATAATGGAACCTCGCCCACTTCAAAACAAAGTCAAATACTGCATCCTCCGATGCTACTAGAAGATCATTACTAGATAATATTGCCTCTATCCCAGAAAGGGGAAACTGCAATATATCTTCTTGGTACCTGAGATATGCACATAATGGTGTCATTTTATCCGTTTTTCATGCATGTCTTATCTATCTTATTTGATTAGCTATGCAGCTCATGAAGCGACTTATTTTAAGTTCTGACAGTAACAACATCAGCATGTATATTTACCAAAACCCAAAAGATCTAGATGCAGGTGCAGCATACATGAAACGTCAAAAGAAGGCATAAAGAGTACGGTTTCAAGCCATACTAATAGCCCGACTAATTCAAGATCGACTCCTTCAGCATACATGAAACATCAAAAGAAGGCATAAAGAGTACGGTTTGAAGCTATACTGATAGCCCGACTAATTTAAGATCGACTCCTTCAGCATACATGAAACATCAAAGAAGGCATAAAGAGTACGGTTTCAAGCTATACTGATAGCCCGACTAGTTTAACATCGACTTCTTCAGCATACCTGAAGCATCAAAAGAAGGCATAAAGAGTACGATTTCAAGCTATACTGATAGTCCGACTAATTTAACATCAACTCCTTCCGCATACATGAAACATAAAAAAAGGCATAAAGAATACGATTTCAAGCTATACTGATAGCCAGACTAATTTAAGATCGACTCTTTCAGCATACATTAAACATCAAAAGAATGTTAAGAACAGAGAGAAAAATGGAAAGACCAGAAGAATTGGGAGAAACCTCACACTCTATTGAAGAATGAAATTGGCTATAATATAACGTTATAGAATACACTAAAAACAAATCTAGTATGACTAAATCAAATCTAATTCAAATAACTAAATCAAATATAATCCAAATAACTAAATCAAATCTAAATCAAATAACAAAACCTAACCATTCCTCCCTTAAACTGAACACAAATAGTAATCCTTTTATATCTACGTCAGAACAGACTTCCAATAATCCTCTCTCCATTTTGCTCCAACCTTCTTTCCGCCCTCCGGTAACTCCATCAATTCCCATGTGTCATTTCTGTTTATTGCTTCCATTTCTCCAACCTTCTTTCCACCCTCAGGTAACTCCATCAATTCCCATGTGTCATTTCTGTTTATTGCTTCCATTTCCAAATCCGGCTTGCCTCCATTTCTCACTCTTCAATGCATCTTCAAAGTTTACAGGATCAGTAGTGGCCAAGTGAGCTTCATTATCTTCTTCAGAAAGATCTTCTCCTGTTGCATAGTCTGTCATCCAGATTGGTGGTCTCCTATTCCTCCCCTTATTCGAGCTAGGAGAGCTTGCTTCCGCCGGAGAAGAAGAGCTTGCTTCAGCCAAAGAGCCCAAGGATATATTTTCCTCTGCAGCATCAATATCAGATTTGCTTCCTTCTTCATTTTCATCAAACACATCTGCTGCCTCCTCTTAATCACCCCATTCCAGATCACACATAATGGATTCTTCATAGGTCTTATCCCAGTCCCAACTCTTATCTTCCTCGAATACATCATCCCTACTTATTATGATCCTTTGTGAAGTTCGATCATAGAGTCGGTAAGCCTTTGACTCTTCACTAACTCCCAGCAAAACACAACTCAAACTCTTATCATCCAACTTAGTTCTATTACGGTCCGGCACATGAACATGAGAGATACATCCAAAAAATCTAAAATGCTCAACTAAAGGTTTGACTCCACTCCAAGTTTCTTCTGGAGTTTTATTTTTGACAGCCAAGGTTGGACTTCAATTCAGTACATGCATAGTCCAGTTGACTGCTTCAGGCCAAAAAAATTTCGGAATTTTCTTTTCTAAAATCACACTATGAACCATATTCATAATAGTTCTATTTTTTCGTTCCGCAATTCCGTTATGCTGTGGTGTGTATGCAGCTGTCAGTTGTCTTTGTATACCATTTACATCACAAAAATTGGTGAATTCTTGTGATGTAAACTCTCTTCCTCGATCAGTTCGTAAGGCTTTAATAAATGAGTTTGTTTCCTCCTCAACATGAATCTTAAAGTTTGTAAATACAGCAAAGGCCTTTGATTTTTCTATTAAGAAATAAACCCATGTTTTTTCTGCTTTAGTCCTCTGTGAAAGTAATCAAGTAACTTTTCTTGCTGTTTGAGATGAGTTCGATCGGTCCACAAATATTAGCTTGCACTAATTGGAGAATTTGTGAAGCTCACCATGTGCTCCTTTTTGGAAACGAGTGCCTTTTGTTGCTTACCCACCCGACAATTTTTATACAGTCTCATTGGAGACTTGAGCTCTTGTAAACCATCCACCATCTTCTTTTGCTGAAGAGTCTTTAATCCCTTGAAGCCCAAATGTCTATACCTATAGTGCCAAAGTTGCTCAATATCTTCTGTGATTATATTGAAACAAGTGGATGCTACAAGCTGAGATATAGCATGCAGTACGAACAATCGATTCAAAGACATCTTTGTCTCCACGATTAAGCCTCTCTCAGAATGAAATACCTTTCACGTTCTATTTTGAAACAAAATGCCCTTTGCTTGCAATTTCCCAATACTCAGCAGATTGTTCTTCAGCTCTGGCACATAGAACAATCCTGTGATTATCGGTATGATTCCATTCACTTGCAGCTGTACATTATCCTTTCCCATTACAACCATGCTTGAGTTGTTGTCCAGCTTCACTGAATCTCTGAAACTTCCATCAAAATCTGAAAAATATTCCTCTTCCCACACAGATGATTGCTACATCTCGAGTCAAGGAACCACATATCTTCTCTATTGGCCTTATTCATATTCACGTAAGCTATCAGCAACATCTCTTCTTGAGTCTCTACATAGTTTGCCTCCTTCTCCTTGATCTGACATTCCCATTGAAAATGTCCTAGCTTGTAACAATTATAGCACTCCACTGTGGCCCTGTTGAAGGTTTGTCTGCCTTGTCCCCTTCCTCTGCCTCTAAAACTTCCACAACCTTGACTCCTTCCTCCAAATTGTTCACCATGAGTGATCTTCAAAACGTGTTCTTCTTCAACATGAGAACTCATGCGTTGTTCATGCACAAATAGACTGCTTTGCAACTCATCAATGGTTAAGATGGTTGTATCCTTGGACTCCTCAATGGAACACACAATATAATCAAAATTGGGAGTCGTAGATCTCAAAATCTTTTCAACTACTTCAACATCTCCTTTGTTCTCACCATTTAGTTTCATCTTGTTGGCTATGCTAAGGGTTCGAGCAAAATACTCATTTACAGATTCTCCTGCCTTCATGTGAAGCATTTCAAACTCATTCCGAAGAGCTTGCAAATGTGCATGCTTTACCCGTGTCGAATCTTGATATTTCTGCTTCATAGAATCCCATATGTTCTTTGTTGTATCCTTGTTGAGGATGTCTCCAAGATCGAACGATCTAATGCTTGAAATAGATAATTCTTTGCTTTCAAATCTTTCAACTTCTCGTCTTCGACGTGCTTCTTCTAAGCATCTGTGAAAACGATGTCTTCTGTTGCTGCAGAAATCTCATTCTCCACCAAACCCCAGTACTCCTTTGAACGCAAAAAAAATTTCCATGAGCATCGCCCAATGATCATAGTACCCATCAAATTTCGGAATTACAAGCGGCACAAATGAACTCTCCATCGACATACTTTTATTATGACACGTAGGAGACTATTGCTTCTAGTTTTAACTTGGCTTTGGCTAAGTTTAGGGCAGGGCTCTAATACCAAATGTTTTAACTTGGCTAACTAAATCAAATCTACTTCAAATAACTAAAACACCTATCTCCTTCAAATAACTAAAACACCTATCTCCTTCAAATAACTAAAACACCTATCTACTTCAAATAACTAAAACACCTATCTACTTCAAATAACTCAACCAAATCTAATTCAAATAACTAAAACACCTAACTAAATCAAATCTAATTCAAATAACTAAAACACCTAACAAAGAAGGCATAAAGAGTACGGTTTCAAGCTATACTAATAGCCCGTCTAATTTAAGATTAACTCCTCCAGAATGCATGAAACTCCCAATGTCTCAGGTTTACTTCTTCAAATCGACTCCTCTGGTATCCCGACTTATTTAAACATTTGATATAATATTTTAAGTTACATTACAAGAACCGTCTCTAAACTTTCATGTTAGATTCCTTAAATTTCAGAAGTGTCCAATAGGTCCTACACTTTCAACTTTAAGTCTAATAGATCCGTCTTTCCTTCTATATTCAATCTACGGCCAACCTCGATACACCTGTTTCACAATGGCGGATCTTGAGTGAGGGAAGCCGAAGCATTGGTCAAGAGAGAGAAAGAAGAGAAACTATAGATCAAGAAAGTCACATTAGTTACACCAGACCCGATACACCTTTTTTTTCTACCTGTTTCACCGTGGTGACCAAGGACAGACAAAACTCATGAATGCTTTCATTACTTACAGATACATCACGAGAGGTTGACCAAGCTTCAGCGGAACTAGGATGGGAGGATTGAATAGAGGTTTCTTCATTTTTCACAAAGTATTGACATTCATGTTTATAAAATAAAATACAAGTTTAAATCACAATTTACAGTTAAAATTTAACATTTTCCAGTTCACAAAGAAGACTACAAGATCGACCAAGTTAATGTTTTAGTCATAATTTTCATACTTTCTTCCATTCAGATCAAAATAATAGATTATAGAGAATAAAATACGAAGAAAAATACAAAAACTATAATATGTGATCTTCATGAGAAATGTGAACTTACTTGATTAAGTCTTTATAACGACCAGCAAGGTACTGTTTTGCTGCATCGGTCAGTGATTGGACGGCTTCAGCCATTAAAACACTGGAAGGAAGATCCAAATAGACCAATGCAGACTCAGGTGTCATAGGCAAAAGTCGCAATTCTCTGCTGCAATACCTCATGCATGAAGAAACCTCGTATTTATCAGCAGCCATTAGCACGTCCAATAAAGCAGGAGCTTTGGTAACAGACAAGCTATTGCAGTACATAAAGTTCAACAACTCCATCAGAGCAGCTTCCTCTGTTCCAAGTAAAAAGACATCATATAGAAAGTCATCTTTCTCTTTATAACACAACCAAAACATAATCATTCAACGGTTTTCGTTCGGAAAGAAATTTTATATGTTATTTCTTACCAGAGGCACTGATCCGCAAGGTCACAAGTCGTTGGTCGGATTCTTTCATACCATTTGAGAACAACTAGAAGTTTATAAGATAGTGAGAGAAGGAAATATCTTGGGATTTTTGTGCATGATTGTCAGGAAACAAGGTCAATAAAGACGATTAACGTTTACCTTATAGAAGAACGGGCTTTTGGCCGCCAAAATAGGAGAGCTAATATGCAAGGTCTTCACCCTCGTCACGGTAGACGAATCCAAATTTAAATCATTGCCATTGGCAGCTTCATCACCTGCAAAAACGCCTCCATGTATCAACAAAACCATGATCATATCAAATTTTGATTCGACCAAAGAAATTCTTATTAGACTTTCTGTTACCTGATAGTGATTCTTCAATCATTGCCACAGGTCCCTCATCTGGATTTTCTAAGGACAAGACCTCGACCATATCAGGATCATCACAGGTTAAAACTTGCTGCTGTGGGCATTTACCGAGATCGAGAACTAAGTGAAAAAACGTAAAGGAATTACTTATTCTGGTCGACTTTTCCACGCACGAAACAGTCAAAAGAGAAGTTCCACCATCAATGCATCAAGAAAGTAAGTGATCCCACTAACACATTGGAAGAAAATGAAAATGTTTCACACTGAAAGCATAAATTGATCTCTCGATATTCCAATATTTCATACCAAGAAAGAAAAATCGTAGAAAAGCTCCAGATTTACCATACGCAGCTGCAATTCAAGTAACATATTCCCCGAACTTTTTTTATATGTTCTTTCAGGAAAGATCGACCATGATAACCCTTTAACATCAACCTTTTAATATTAGAAACCCTGTATGAAACTTTGTAAAGTATGAACAAAATTAAGAAATAAATTGCTAAAAAATTCCAACATGAGTGTTCTATACACAAGAATATAAAACAGAGAAAATGGAGCTTGGTAGAATCTGGAATCCATCCAAAGTACAGAAGCCTACGATTAAAAATTAAGAACGTAAACTTCAAATCGAACATTTCCCCTTTCGTTTCCTCAGCTTGACGTGCCTTGAAGCAAACTCATACAATCTATTCTGAATTCTAAAAGTAATTTTCTATGAATTCAAGGCCCAGAGACAAAAAGACCATCAGCAAACTCAAGATGGATTTGAGCTAGTAGTAGAAACGGCCCTGAAATCGAAAATTATTTTTGGAAAAGGAAAAAAAATCTTCGAATTCTGTCAGGTTCTTCGTAAACCAGAATCGCTGATGAAGCTAGCTACACTAATCCAACAAAAAAATCTAACTCGTCTAAATGTAGAAAGAAGAAGAAAAAAATGATTCTCAGAAACGAAAAAGAGAAAAAACACAGTTGAGTAGAACTCACAATTTTCCGTTTTCCTTTCTTCTTTCCTCCTCTTTCGGCGAGCCCAATCAAGGACGCTACTACGGCCAGCAAAATCCGGCTCAGTTTCATCGGAGCCACCAACGATCTCAATCCTTAGCAGGCGATCAGAAAAGTTACTGTCGTCAAAAGCGAAACCAAAATCAGAATCCGGCGACGAAGTGGAAGCAGCGAGCACATAATCCGAGTCAATCGCGGCTCTGGGATCGAACAAATCAGTGTTGAAATCTTTCATATTTGGGAACAGAAACACAGCTGCAATTGAAGAAAGATCTTGGTGTTGAAGCCCCTAAAACCCTCAGCAAATCGGCCAAAAAGGTAAAAACAAACAAAAAATCAGAAATAAATGTAGAAGATGGAGAATTTATAGATTGCAAGAGAAGAAGAAGATTGTTGGTTGGATTCAAAATCAAAATCAAAATCAAAATCAAAATCAAAATCAAAATCCTTCGTTTCCATATCTGCAGAATTCAGTTGGTTAATTTTGTCTTTATACTCGTCACTCACTATACTAACAAAATCTTATCTCATTAACTTAAACTATATATTTAAATGGTCGATTTTTATTCTTTTTCAATATTATTCTTTTTATTTTTTAATGGTTAAATTCAAATTAACTCAAATAATTTAAATTGTTCTTCAAATAATAATCATACAAATTTGCAAATTCTAGTGAAGAAAAGTATTTTATCTCTTTCTCAAAATTATAGTTTTTTTTTAATATATAGATTTTTTTTTCTTTACAAAAAAAAATATATTTTTTTTTCGGATGAAAAGAAAATTTCTAAAATTCAAATCATTTCCTCACCGTTTTTCGTATAAAAATTCTCTACCCCACTCTAGTCCCGACCCCAATTCAGTCTAATCCCGACCAACTGATTTTATTAATGTGTTATTGGATGAAATCCTATCCTTTGTAAATCGAATCACATTAATAACTTTGTAAGAAGTGAATTATAATTCTAAAAATATATATATAATATACCATTTAAATTAATTTAAATTTAGAAAAAATTAATTATACTCATTTTCGAGGGAAAAATTTTCAATTTATACTAAACGTTAAATTTTTTTGTCCATACATTAAAAAAAAATCTCCAAAGAACATTGTTATTTTTGGGTTATAAGATAGCAATGAAGAGAATACCTTAAAATTCATAACCGAGTCTAAGTCGATAAAGAGGAGAAGAGAAACAATGAAGAGAATGGTCATTGAAACATACCCTAAAATTCATAACCCGAGTCCAAGTCAAGAAAGAGGGAGAGAGAAGCAATGAACAGAATAGCCATTGAACCATACTCTAAAGTTCATAACCGAGTCCAAGTCAAGAGAGGCAGAGAGAACAGAATGGTCATCGAAATATACTCTAAAATTCATAACTGAGTCCAAGTCGAGAGAGAGCGAAACAATGAACAAAATGGTCATAGAAACATATCCTAAAACTCATAACCGAGTCTAAGTCGATAAAACTCTCCCGAACATAAACAATCCAAATTTACCCACTAACAAAGAGTATTAGATTTACATTTAGAAGTGAAATGCCATACAAAAACAACGTAATATAATACATGTGAGTGAACAACATACAATGGCAGCACTCAGTCAGTCAAGAACAATGTAGAACAATAATTTTTTAACACGACAAAAAAGATGTTAAAAATGAAATGAATTTAAGATTAGACTCTACTTTTTTCACTAACCTTCCAATTTCCATCACAAAATAGCTTCTGTACCCATTGTTGTGGTTGAATTCTCCATCTCTGGTGGAGGCTTTACATACTTTCCTATAACCTTTTGGTGTCTCCTATGTCTCATTCTGTCTAGCTTAGCTTTACTCTTTTGCTTTCTGTTCTCTTTCTGTCGATATCGTAAATTCTTCTCTCTCTCGTACATGCCTTCCCAAAACACTTCGCCTGTCGATGGCCACAACCACCGTCTCGTGGGGTGGTCGGTATCTGCTTCCTCTCCCAACTCCTCGTCCATGCTCTTTATCATGGCGTATGAAAACCATTTTATCCACATTCTGCCTCTCCGTGTGTCGAACTTGTGTTGCTCTTGCATTGCACCGGTCTCGGGGTTCATGTATACCATTCGCCTTGCACTGTGATATGCCCAAACGTTTACGAGGAGCTCGAGTAGCTGGGAGTAGCAGTGCTTGTCCTGTAAATAAAAGTACAGTTCAACTCTAGCAATTACAATGAAATGCTCATAGTTCCATGTTGACATCTAAAAGGACGAGGGGCGTTACTTTGGACAAACTCAAATAACACCGTCCACTTGTCCGGTGTTCGTCGTACATTTGCGCATCTAAGGCATCAACGAACATTCTGCAGACAAAAGAAATGAACGAACTAAAGCCATGGTGCAGTGAAGATAGGAGAATGATCTCTTACAAACCTTGAAAACATGACAAATTCGAGAAAAGATCCGGTTGGTAGAACCCAGCTCTGCATAGCGGACCATGTATAGCCATCTGCAGGCATGGGCGGTAACAATTCGAGATCACTTTTTATACCATACATCGTCTTCAATGACTCAGAGAACACGAACCTATAAACAAAAAGGGCATAGGCAAAGAATTGATATCAGAAGATTGTATAAAGAGAGTTCAGATGTTTCAGTACAAAAACTTGAGCATGAATTTTCAGGTCTTACTTGCAATTTCCAGCATTTATGGAATCACAAAATGACCAAAAATCAAGCTGTAGCGGGTTTCTTGGATCCGAGTCCATGCGAACCCAAAAGTAGAGTGCATCTCCATATCTTCGCGTCTCAATTGCATCTAATAATGCAGTTTCAGCGATTTTCGACGGTGATGCCTGTTCAACCTCACCATCGGTTAGACAAAGGTGCGTTGCTTTTCTTTGTCAAAATATTGTTCTACTATCCAAAAATACGTTGAGGATTGTTGGAAGAGAGTACCACATATGATAATTAAGAGGATGATCATAGGTTTATAAGTAAGGAATAGATAAGAGGCCTTTTGGGAAAACGAAAAGCTCAAAGTGGACAATATCATACTATTGTGGAGATCCGTAATTCCTAACATGGTATCAGAGTTGCCATGGGCTTAACTTAGCCATGTCAAGAAAATCCTCAAATATCGAACAAAGAAGTTGTGAGCCTCGAAAATATAGTCAAAAGTGACTCAAGTGTCGAACAAAAGGTGTACTTTGTTCGAGGGCTCCAAAGAACGAGTTGAGTCTAGATTAAGGGGAGGTTGTTCGAGGACTCCATAGGCCTCGGGGGAGGCTCTATAATGTACTTTGTTCAAGGGGAGGATTGTCGAGGATTGTTGGGTGGGAGTCCCATGTTGGTTAATTTAGGGAATGATCATGGGTTTATAAGTAAGGAATACATCCCATGAGAGCTTACGCTCAAAGCGGACAATATCATACCATTGTGGAGATCCGTGGTTCCTAACAGGGTCGTGGTTCGTAATATCTTATGGAACAGTCTAAACATTCACTTCTTTTGTGTAAATAATCTATCTAAAGCTCATGCAACACCAGCTATGTTACTTACTTTCAGTAGAAGAAAACTATAAATGTAAAAGTGAATTCAAGAAAAAAAACTTCAGAAAAAACATGGACAGAGCGATGTCACATACATTCCTGGCAGTGGCTCTCCAAGATTGAAAACCGATCCAAGCGTTCTTGTGTATGCGGTCGACCTGGTTAGCAATTGCAAAGAAGGCTCCATACTCACCGAGTACATTTCGGTAGTAAGGGTTATTGAGAAGTGGAAGCCGTGATGGTGCATCAACATCATCAGTTCCAGGTCGCCTGCCTTTACTCGACTGCAAGAATAACATTTAACATCTACATTAAGATGGTAACTCACTTTTTCTTTGTTTCATTTTTTGAATAAGAAACGACTTTTAATTGGTTGATGAAGATATTTTAAAACACATCTGCTAGGGAGAGGTTTCCAGAACCTTATAAGAATACTTTGTTCCCCTCTCCAACCGATGTGGGATCTCACAATCCACCCCCTTGGGGGCCTAGCATTCTTGCTGGCACACCACCCGGTGTCTAGCTCTGATACCATTTGTAACAACCCAAGCTTACCGCTAGCAGATATTGTCCTCTTTGGCTTTCCCTTCTAGGCTTCCCCTCTAGGTTTTAAAATGCGTACGCTAGGGAGAGGTTTCCACACCCTTATAAGGAATACTTCGTTCCACTATCCAACTAATGTGAGATCTCACAATCCACCCTTTAGGGGCCCAGCGTTCTTGTTGGCACACTGTTACGGTCTCTGGCTTTGATACCATTTATAACAGCTCAAGCCTACCACTAGCAGATATTGTTCTCTTTAAACTTTCCCTTATGGGTTTCCCCTCAAGGTTTTAAACACGTTAGGTAGAGGCTTTCACACCCTTATAAGAAATGTTTTGTTCTCCTCTCCAACCGACGTGGGATTTCACAAGCAGAATTGACATTATTGATTCACATTCACATCTATGAATATCATTGAAGTTAAAAATAAAAAAATAAAAAAACCATTATAATGATTGCATAATGCAGAAAACCACATGGTTGTCATAGGATGATATTTAAAGAAAAAGTCTTTCAACATCAAGTTTGCACACGGAAAACAAAACAATAACAAAAATTTTGCGCAACCTACCAGCCCGATTCCACGATAAAGAGAATATCGGTGCAGGAAAGGCCAAACTCCTTCCCCAAAGTAAGGTTCATAGATGCATAATGGTTGTCCAGTCCTTTCAAGCTCCCCTTCATCCCTCTCATGCAAATCATTCTTAGACCTATCGGCCCTCTTAGCACTTCGATACACATCCTCCCACGTGCTATGAGGTTGTTCGGTTCTATCTTTTATCTGTCAAATTCAAGTATCAATGAATATTGAAGACATACAAAATCAATATAAATCATAGAAAACCAAAGATGAGCAGCTTATAATCTCACCTCTTCTTCCTCTCTTCTTCTTTTGATATTAGACATCACTGTTTGTTTTTCCTCCTCCCATATATCATATACAAATGACTCATTAAAAGCAATAGGATTACCAGGCTTCCCCTTTTTAGTTTGGTTCCAATGCTTTTCAAATTCATCTAAAATTGTGAAACTTTTTTGGTTTCTGTGCAGGATGGCCAAATTTGATACCCCTTCAAATAACTGCCACTGCCATTTTTCTTTCAGTTTGGAAGGGATTTCGGCGACTTCCTTAGCTGGCGCAGCTTCTGATGGAAGCTTAAGAACAGCATCAAGTAGTGAGGCATATCCGACAACCGTTTCTGAAACCATCAAGTTTTTCACTGTGCCCCGTCCAGTTGAAGCAATACTACGAGCAACTGGCGATACTCTCCCTTTCGAGATCACTTCCAAAATAACTTGGGAAAGTACATTGAAATTTCCCGTGGGAAACAAATAGCCGTTTACCCTGTCATCAACCTAGTTGTTATTGCCAATGCAGTCAGTAGTTTGCCCAGGATTTGTACGTACGTATGTATATATGTATGAATGTATGTACGTACGTACGTACGTACGTA